TTTGTTGTGCGACTATGTATTTTTATCAGGCAGTCATTTTTCGGAAGGTAATTCTAAGAGATATTGCTGGTGAAGAGGATATGAAATTTGGGTTTCTATGACATTTTGTTGCCGATTTCAATGAATGAGTTTATCATGATCTGTTAGAGTCTAACAGATCAGTTGCCCAGAAGAAGGATTTGGGATTATGTGGTGAATATACTGATGAGGGTTGGTCCATTTTCCATCTGTTCTTTTTTGCCTTTAAACCTATGCATTAGTTTGAATTATTTCCTCTTGATTAATTAAAGAATACCATTCCCAATTTCACGTGTTATGTTGATTAATTAGATTTTAGAATTTTATGTTGGTTTATGTGTTCAAGTTGGTTTTCTTCTTCCTGGTTCATGTCCGCCGAATCTCTTGAATTTTAGGTAGTTTTCTAAGTTTTCTCTTAGCTAACTAGTGGGGCAGTTTCTTAATTATTCCTTTAGGTTATTGGTCCTTTAGCTTTTTTCAGCTTAAGCATGGCCATCCTTGCATTTTTGGCATCTTAACCTTTCTTGCATCTATAAATGAGAAGAAACAACCTAACCTTTTTTTTTTGGTTAAAACTGTTGATTTGGCTTCTAAGGCTGGGCAATTAGGTGCAATTAATGTGCTTTAACTGCAGTTATTGATGTAAATCTGTAATTTATTCACCATATTCTACGAAACAGTAAAAAGTGATAGATATTTCTTTGAGCCTTTTGTTCTAAACTTGATCCTTTAGCTTTAATTCCCTTCCGATGCCTTTTCCTCCTCTTTGAATCACTTTTGAAATTTGACTAGGAATTTATTTAAATGTAGTTTTACTGCAGTCTGATGGCGATAATTTGCATATTTTAATGGAGAAAAAGCTGCAGATTTTGTGGTGTAAAAAGAAAGAAGAATTTGAAGACAAGTGTTTTTTTTTTCTGTTCTTTTTTCTTTTATAGGGAAACCAGATTTTAATCCACTAGGATTTTAATTCCAAACAGGGAACTCCGGTCATCATGACCAATTAAACCAACTACTTGCTGAAGATAATACATCATCGCAAAAATTGAAATTCTTCAAAATGCTATATGGTTGATTATATCAATGAGATGCGATGCCTGGAAATTGGAACTTACTGACTAAAGTTCCACCTCTATTCACAAGAGCACCCCTGACATGCTATTAGCAAACACAAAAGAACCCCCCTATATTCTTACCTCAATAGCTAAATCAGGAATTGATTTAGATGAAAATAATTTTTACTTAATCCTCAAATCTATTTCTACTTTCATGTGAGCCTCAGTCATGAGGAGGCAACATTTGTTTCTGTTCTCTTTGTCGCATTGGGTTAACTGGTACTTTGCTATACCTTTGGATGTTTGATTATAATATTTGTCTGAATTCTTGCTGTTTGGTAAAGACATACATCTCTTTTTTTCTGCCCTGAGGCAGGGTTTAACAGCAACTGTCAAATGTTATAATTATATCAAATTTCCATCCAAATTTGAACTTTCATTGCCAACTCTTTCCACTTATTTTTATGGTGCTGGAATTATTTTCACTATCAAATTTAATAAAAGTTGCAAATATTTGTTTCTCTTTGTTTGGACTGACGCTCTTGTTTGGGTATGTGGATGTAGTCTTTTTTTTTTTTTAATTTAAGAAGAAAATGGATTTGACAAACCAATTGTTGATTGCATAACTGTTTTGGCAACTTCCTTATGAACAGAAGTTGGTGTATTATTTCAGGTTGGATAAACCATGGTTCTTGACAGCATTGTATCATCTCCCATGCGGAGATCACAGTCTTTGCGAAAGCAAAGGGATGAATTGGGTAGTTGGTCAGCACTTGCTCAGAGACACCGTTTCCTCTTAACAGCTCTGGTTCTCTTGGCATTCCTCTGTACTATATATCTCTACTTCGCAATCACTCTAGGAGCTGCTGGCTCATGTTCTAGATTGACTGGAACCCAAAGGGCAGTTTGTCAATTAGAGCGTGCAAAGGCATCTGTGTCTGAAGGAAAGTTGAAATTCGCTTAGCATGTTCATGCTAATCATCTCTCTTGGTTGTGTTATTAAGCTCATTGGTGGTCCAGTTATCCAAAAGATATTTAGTTATGAAGTCTTATTGTTGGGGAAGCTAATAACCCTTGTTACATGGCATACTTGTGGGACTGGCCACCTAGTTTCCTGAGTGTGTGTTGTGATCTTAAGAAAAAATTTTCCCGGCTGTTTGTGTCCTGTAGATTGTTGTAATAGGCTGACAAGCTTTGAGTCATATTTTAGAAAGCATATCACATTCTTTGTACTTTCAGCTCGCAGACCATCTAAAATGTTAGCATTTGAAGCTTAAAATTGCAAATGTACTTGCTCTATAGCAGAATCTGAAATCAGTTGAAATTGTTATTATTACTGTTGTCATCTATACTGTACCTGAGTTCATTACAAGATGATTTGGTGTATCATTTATCATAACAATCACAGAAAATTGTTAAAGAAGATAATTGTGTGAATATTCCATACTGTACTTTTGTTTCAAAAAACAAATTGTGTGAATATTGCAGATCCTTTCTACAGCTTTCAATGTGAATCTTGGAGTCTGTTCTGGAACAAGCAGATTGTCTCCTGTATAAACTAATGTTTCTCTCTTATCTGCAAAGACTTGTAATCCTTCAGCGCTAGATTAGATTGGTTTCCGTATCAGGATTTTACGTCTGTATGTGCATTTGAAAACATCGATATAAATCATTTCAGGAGCCCTAACCAGTTTTTCTTTGATTTCATATCTGTTGAAGTTAGCACCTGCATCCCTTGGAAACCATTCAATCCTCCAAAACCCTAAATGGTTACAAATCTTTGTAAATGTCCACTAAACTCCATAATCTACTGTTCGGCACTGGACGATGCCTTTTAAATCTATTGCAGATGACTTCTCGTTTGATGGTACTTCTCCCTGCTTGCTCTTGCCATTGAGCAAACTCCATATCATTCCGGTGTGGATCTCTTGGAGATCCATAAATTGAATGGGAGAAAAATTAATGGAGTCAGACTGTCAAGAAAGAAAGAAGGTATTTCATTTTTTATTAACCAAATGCACTTTTTAATATTGTATAAATTTTCCTGAGGGTGACGGGGAGTGATACAGTTTTATACATGTCTTAGAATTGATTTTATGGATTTAGGTTGGAGGGAGATCAGTTGGGAATTAAAATTTTCTTATTTAGTAACTTGGATTCGAGCAACTCTTTCTGTTACCGTAACAGTTTGTTTTGCAGTCGTCTATTGATGATTTATTACTTAAAAGAGTTTATCGTAGAAGTATGTATGGTTTAAATGGTAACTCAAGAATCAGATGTACAGAAAATACACATTTCAGATAATTTGCCCAAATAAATTAATTATCAAGCATGTCCAAATTTTGTACTATGCTCCTTGTAATTTTTAGAAGAGGTGTGAACATTTTTCATGGCATTGAAAATAATTTCAAATATTAAAATAAAAAACTTACATTATGTTTGAACGGCTTGACATATAAGGCCTGTGTCATATAATTTTTGCATAAAAATT